TAATAACCAAGTTTAAACGTCGTACCCCCACTTACTCTTCCCCATCTGGGAAAGTCCACATACTGCCCATCTGGGCAGGGCAAGATACCTGAGGCCTGCCCACCAGGTCTAGTTGGCCAGGCCATCTGGTCCAGTCAAGTCCTTCCCAACCATGCCCACATGGACCAGACATTAACTTATGGTCTGCCCACCTGGTCTGATAGCCCACATTTGCCCGCTGCCCAGGGTGGTCTTCCCTGTATAGACCATCTGGTCCGGTCGGGTAGCCCATATTTGCAGTGGGCCACCCAGCCTGCCCACTTGGTCTGGCCGCTTGTAGCTGATGGCCCAGACCGGTCTTCCCTACGCGGACCAGATGGTCCGGTCGGGTAGCCCACATACATGGTGGTCCGCCCATTCCGCCGAACTGCCCAAGCTTGGTCGGGTTAGGGTCTGCCCTTTGCGCTAGTGCCCAAGTCCTTGGGCAGCCCGAACTGCCCACCCAGAGTGTTGGGCAGGTCCTCCGTTGCCCAACCTAGTCTTAACTATACTAAGTCCAGCATCTTCTTTTTGCAAGTCAAGTAGCCTGGGCTGTATGTACAACTGTATTGACTGTCTGAACACAAATTTATTGCAACAGTGGCACTTGACACGTTCACTATCCACATATGCTACCTATGCCAACCGACGCCTCTTCGTTGGAGACCCGCCAACATGTTGATCCACGGCCTCGATGCTCGGTCCCGAGTGACCATCTGTGTACCACAATATGTCGGGTTGGACAGCCTCATGGTAGGCATCCGCGATGCCAAAGGTTTCGAGTGTGTCAAGCAGGAGAATGTCCTCTTCAGGAACGTCTAACTCCCCCTCATCATCCTCTGACAAGTCATCAGCTGTAAGCAATTCATCAGTTGATCGAACCACTCCGCCGCCGATTGCAATCCCGAGCATCTCGTCTGAGGTTGGCCCCCACGGAACTATCTCATCGCCGTCGAAACTCAGCCCGTCAGCATGTTTGCACCAGCCGGCGCATAGTTCTATGAGCTCAGCTCTCCGGCGCGCAACGTGGTATTGCATAACTTCATCTCCGACTAGGTAACATTGCAGATCAGCGCCATCCCTGGATTGTAACGTAGCTTCGCGTACCTGCACTTGCTTCCGCCTTTGATACCATTTCCCACTCCTCTGCAAACCACTCCTGGATCGCACGCCTCTCACGCCTTAACCGCTTCTCTTCCTCTTGACATCTCTGCAGCTCAACCCATGCTCTGATACCCGTCCGGACAGCGTCATCTCCTAGCCAGGGCGGGATTGATTCTCCCGAATTCGGATCTTCATCCAAGCCGACGTCCTGCCAGATGGTATCGTCCACGTCCAGCTTGAAGAGTGCTTTGCTATCGATGGTATCGGGTGCTACGGAACCTGGCGGTGCTTGTCCTTTGCGTATAAGATCACGCATCACGCCGCAGAGCCCGTTGAAATCACGGGCGAGCTGTTGAATGCCCGGTTCTCGACGCTTCACCTGTGTTTCGGTGTGCGAATGTATACGTTTATCTTATTCATTAACAGTGTCAATTATCTGAATGAAGAGTCATGTCGGAAGACGAACCATTTGCTAGATTACGGTAGGCTCGCTCTACACGTTCGAGCTCGAACTTCCTTTGGCGAAGCCGCTCCCGGAGCCTTTTCTTCAGAGCCAGGGCATTGAGGCGATGAGTAAGATACTTGCTGTTCCGTAGACGTTGCAAATCAGCCCGTCCGTCTACGCCCAGTTCACGCTCTTTGGCCTTGAGAAGGGCCTGCTCTCGAGATAACTTCGTGCGTACGTCGGTGAGTCGCATTTCTGCCTGTACGAGCTCGGCCTGGCTCGTGGTATCGTCCAAGATTATCTTCTCGAGGGACGCAGCCCTCTCGGCCAGGACTTTCGTCCGTGCTTGTAAGCGAATGATGTTGGCCACTGCATCTTTTCCCTTGTTCTTAGCGCGACCTGCAGCACGCCGTGACTGAGTCAAAAGCTAACTACTCCGAGGGACATCGCACTTACGGGGAAGAGGTTGTGTTTGTGCTTTGATCTGAGCTGTCCACTCAGATCGCAGTGTCTCCTCGGCAATCCCACAGTCACCAAAGGCGGCTCGAGCTTCCGCGCGTTTAGCTTTCAACTGTTCCGTGTGTTTGAATAGCCACTGGCCTAAGTCCCGACGTATTTTAGCGTCGCGATGGTGGACTTGTGAATCGAGGACATAGAGTCGCTGGTGATACTGACGAGGAGAAGGTCAGCACATACGGTACAAGAAAAGCGAAATGATATTCTCACTCCAGACACACGCAGACAAGGCACGAGCCGCATGAGCGACAGCCATAGTCGCTCGCAACCCTCGCCGTTCGACAGTCCGAAGCCTTCGCATTTGCGAGGATGATACACCAATTGGCACGGCCACTGGTGGCCGTAGGCATGGAAAACTGAAATACCGAATACGAGGCGATCAATATACTCGGGCAAGTAACCCCACTTCAAGCAACTACGGTGGAGGGAACAAGCAACATCGTAGAGCAACCCGACACGGACCTTCGGCGGCAGGTGGTTGAAGAGCTCCTTGAGGAGAGCCAGCGCGTAGAACTGCTTTTCACCCGCTGAGCGCATGTTTACAAGCCATAATACTACATCGTGGCGGCAGTTTAACGCCATGATGCCGGTGTCGTCATAAAGGGATGTACTTGCTTTCTTGCGTTTCTCGTCGGCAGCCGTGAATGTATTGTCACATTCATCTAGGGCAGACTTGGGAACCTTGAGTGTGCCCTCGAAGCCGTCTTCATCGTCGGCGACCTCCTTATCCTGCCCGGTGTGCTTTTTAAGAGCGCCGGACGGATTGTGAGCCCTGAGCCGCTCGACTTCGGCTTCCATTGCCGCCGCAGTGTCTTCTGAGAGCCAGACAGTGTCCGGGTGCGAGTTCTTCGGGTCGTGCGAACCTTTCTGCCGCTTCTGAGAAAAGCAAGCATCCATTTCGACAATGTAATCGGCTCTAGATAAGTAATAAGCTACCATCGGCGTGCAGAATAGGGCGTGAAGACGCACAAAAGGGTCGGATCGTATGAGGTCTGTCCTCCAAAGCAGGCAGGGCACCGTGAGCGAAGGTACTCGCTCGGCCGTTGCAGATCGGCGGTGGTCCCAGACATCGCCCTCGTCGTGGTGGGTGTCTCAAGTCCCGGCGATGAGTCATCCGTTTGATGCATACCTTCCAAGAGCTGACAGGGGCGGCTACCTTGAATCCAATCGTGTACTGTCTTCTCGGCAGTGTCACGCAGTGTGTGGTACCATGACAGTGCATTACTAAACCGTCGACGAAGACAATCCTGGAAAGCTGGAGTCAGTGCTGCTGGCAAAACGATGGCAATCACGACGTACCTTAGAAGCGATTGCATAGGAGCGTGACTGCAGGAATGTCTCGACGGCATTGCACCAGGCGGTATTATTTGGTGGCAACTCAACAAAGAGATGAGAAACAAATTCGAGTACATTGAGATCTACCGCAAGGGAGGGGAAAAGCGGAGCACAGGGAAAAAGTTGCTGCTCCAACAGCTGGCTATAACTCGGTCTGCATGGGCAGACATCGAGTTCGATCGTCTTAAGGTCTGTATCAGTATGGGTTGTTAGACAAGCTGGCACTGGTAAAGACAGAACGGGACTCACGATTGAAGTGGATTGCGAGAATTTTGATGGGTCGTCGCGGACACTCACAGGAGCGAGCGGAGCAATTACGAATGGGTGATCGTTCCCGCAGCCAGTTCGTACGCTGCAGTAGTTGTAGAAATGGCTGAGTGAGCGCTGGTATGACTTCGGTACGCCAGCGCGCAGACTGGTTCTCTTTCTTCCTTCGTCTACGCGCTCTCTCTCCATCGGGAGGCTCTGGTGCCAAACGAAACGTCAGGGTATGATCTTGAGTGTCATCGTAGATGGAAGTATCATGCTGCGGCTGAGACACTTCTTCCACTGCAGCAGGCGATTGACTGGACCGGGGGTGTTGAGGCCTAGCAGAACTTGAAGAACGTGAGGCCTGTGCAAATTTGACTCGATCGATGAGAGACGACGATTGCATTAGCCCTTCGCCAACGGGAAGTGCCACAAGTGGTACTAGTCGCTGTCCTCCATACTTCCGAAGCGACTCCTTTTGACGGTAATGTGGCAATTTTGCGGGGAGAGGATGTAGCGAGGGCACTTCACGATCGTCAGACTGAGCCCGCTCCTCAGGGTGCAAGCTCTGGCGTAGCTGCTTTCGAGGGATACGCGGACGGTACGACATGTCATAAGAGGCTGATGAAGTGAGAGCCAAGCTTGTTTCGTGCGTCCAGACACGCGCCACTAGTGTGCATGCCACAAGCTGCCACACTCGCGTACAAGCCACACGTGATATGAGTATGGCATAGTGGCTCACGTGCTTTACGTGGGTCGCGTGATGCCACAGTGCATTGAAAACACGACCAGACTCGACGAGCCTTGCATTGTGCGTTAAGACACGATGAGAGCTTACATTCAAAATTTACATGTTGATACGAATGACGCTTGAGAAGATAAAGTATCTAGCTGCCGCATTTTACATGACAACCTCCTCTCTTCCCCGGCCCAGGCAGTCTGCCTCTTGTGATCTTGCTAAAATCCATAGATCCTCTTAAACTCTCGCTTGTTTACCCTATGAAGAATCAAGAATGTCAGTAGCATCTCTGCGCAGAAGGGACTCTAGCACATACGCGCGCCCATCTGTAATCAACTTGCGATCGTGGCAGGCCTGAGCGTACGCGTCGAAGCCCTGGCCGCGTAAAAATATCTCTTGATGGTAGGTAGCAATGATGCGTCGATGGCCGTGTATAGTGCCCGGATCCGCTGTTGGTAATTCAGCCTTGGCTTGCTCGAGACGTCGAAACAAGCATTCGTCTAAGTAATCCATGTATCGCTCGAGCCACTCATCTTTATACTGTTCTTCAAGATTCGTAATTTTGTAAAGGTAGTCTCGATAGACTAGGCGTTCAGCGGCTTCCATTTCACTGGTGATCTCAGGATCTTCGGCGGTGGATTTGACTGCGATGCCGTCCTCGACATATCTAGTGGAATACGTGAAGGACTTGCAGTCCTCTAGACTTATGCGGCCGACGTACTGTATTTTCCTAGTTTTCTCTTTCCGACGCGCATCCTGTGCTGCTTTCCGTGCTGCTTTTCCACATTTCCTTCTACCGACACGATGAATCTGATTGTACTGACGTTGGTACGCCTGTCGTGCTTCACGATGTCTAGCACAATATTAGTGCATAAGGCCAATAATCAGGCTGAGTATATAGATGCTCACCTCCGATAGTAGCTTACCTTTCCAGTCCCTTTTTCGAACATGTGGTCGTTTGCCCCAGCAGCAGTGTTGATAGTGCTCAGAACTTGAACAGCGGTTTGTTCTTCGAGTGACATACTAAACGGCGTGGCTTCAGACTGTGCGTGCCAGTTAAATAGCAACACCCACTTCTTAGCCGCCAGAGACGAGCAGGTATAAGAGGGACAGTGAGCCAGTGGAAGTGGAAGTGGAAGTGGCGCTGGGACTCCACGGCAAAAAGTCCGAGAGCTAACTTAAAGTCGCGACGCGGCAAGAGTCTCAAACTGTAGTGCTCACCCATCGTACAGTTGTTGCAACCTCCGGTCATTTATGATAGTCCATTTTTCTCTAAGATGCATTATGGGGCATGGAACAGGACTCCATATTTTTATTTATGGGATTTTTAATCGAGTAGTCAGGCTTCTGTAAACCAGTGTGCGTGTTTTGGACGGGCGCTTGTATTGTGAATTAGGTTAGGAGACTACAAGCGCCCGTCGCCTGCTGTCCTCTAGACCACGCTGAAGCCTTTCTACTTGCAGTCTTCGTACTCATGTTTGTCTCCATGCCTTAAAGCCCCAGCTAAAGTATCAAGGATTGGACTGGATTCGGTCCAGTCTCCGTTTAACGGTAAAGTACAATATGAACATGCCGTTCCCGATTTCGTTACGCGCAACGCTCACCCACAGTCTCCTATTCTTTCTAAAGACTTCTTTGATGTTTGATATACATGTAGAGATTGCCATTGTGCGGAAAATATCTCAGTAGGCTCTCTTATTTGTCGTCCGTGTCAATCACCGAGACTAACGCGCGTTTTCAAGCTGAAGTTGTTATCTATTACATTATTGCGTACACCACGAGCGTTCCATCAACATAGGTACCTTACGACGCTTGGACAGTAGTTTTCGAGACCTCTACATCCACTGAGGTCTGGTCACAAGCTTGCCGAGCCACAGCTCACGTGTGTCAGTGATCACGCATCGGTGTGGCTCGTGCTGGTGGTTGACTTGTGGAGTCCGAGGGTGACAAATTCGAACCCCGATGTGGTTGAACCAACCGTCGACACCTGCGTCTCCTCCCTTCTCCACTCCATACTATCAGTAATGGCGCCTGCTCGGTCTCGAGCTGCGAAAACCAAGAAGTCTAAGCCCTCCACCACTCGCAAACCTGCGAAGCAACAGCCTCTGCCACCGACTCTACAGGATGTGGCGGAGGATCGCGTGGAGTGTGGCGCGGTGGAGGAGAATATTGATGTTCTCCCCAACACTGAGGCAATCAATGCCTCACAAGTTCAGGATCAACCCGACCCATCCGTGACGGAAGGCAGGGGTCTACGATCTGGCCGCAAGTTTGCACCCCTGCCGCTACCGACTCGCCAGCGTCGAGGTGCTGGCGCAAGCAATGGCCCGCCACAGTTGGAGCCAATTCCAGTCGATAACTCAAAGCGGTCCTTGAAGCCTCCTGATGCCACAGCATCCAATACAAGTCACACAGGTCAGAACAATGAGATGCAGGGATCCTCATTCGACGTATGTATCGCCAGTTCCTTAGCAGCATGTTCTTTCTAAATCTGCCTTGCGCGTTCCATCACCAGTTACGTGGATCAGAGGTAGGCGACGCTAGCAACAGCAGGTTGAGGAGCTCTAGGGAAACTGTAAGTCTATTGCGTTATCTTATACTTTGATTCCATCGGTAGCTAACTTCGACATAGGATCATAACAAACCCGAGCCTCCTTCGCGCAACGACGAACAGCATCTGCGCGTTAGCGACATCGCCAATCCCCTCCATGTCGATGATCCTTTCGCATTCAATCGTCGAATGAGAATCTCGGACGACGTCATTGCAGCAACCTCGGAACGCCAAGAGAGGATTTCCGCCTCTCCTCAGGATCAGGGGCTCGAAAACTGTGATGTACCTCCACCTCCCGATGACGAGCGCCCTGTTTCTCGGAACACGTCCCGAAGTACGCCACCAGACGTTGGCCCTCTGTGGACACTTGACATGCACAACGTGGAGTTCTCGTTCAATGGGAGCGCTCAGGGATTGTCCCAAAGTCTTGGCGACGGACAAAGGCCACCGACGCTGGAGTCGGAGGATGGCTCTCCTGCCAGAGACAACCTCAGCCCTAAGGATAGCGACACGGCTGTACGTGATGAACAGTCTGAGGCGCATCGAGACGGAGGTGAAGGACCACAAGGGGGAAAATATGGTATGTCGCACACATCTTCTCGTCTGTAATGTCTCTTAGTTCCCTTTCCACAGCGTCGCGAACGCGCCCGCCGCGGTCTGAGCCCGAGCCCGAGGTGGAGCCCGATCATCACGAAATCAGTGAATCGGATGGCGACGCGACTGAGGATAATTACAGCGACACGGAACGGCAAAGGCAAGGTGAAAAGAATGCCAAGCAGAAGCGCGGTCGTGCCGTTTCGCCCACAGCCGAAGAAATGGACTACGAAGATGATGTCCATCTTGAACAAGAGGCTGACTACGATTCCGACATCCCCGCAACTTCATCGAGACGAAAACAAGGACCGAAAGGAGCAGGATCCAGACATGCTGACATCGGGAAGAAAGGGCGACACGACAGGGCAGAGCCCAGTGAGGAATCAGCGGAGGATGCTGATGACTCGCCTCGCCAGCCTTTCATCCCTGGGCCCCTTCCTCGCGAGGCCCTTGAGGATATCCAGGACGTACACAATCAGCTTACGAGCGTTATCGAAGATCTCGCAGCGAAATACAAGAAGCCTCTGCCTGCCATCTATAGCGCCATGGGTCTTCATGATACGAAGCCCAGGGCGTTGAATCTCTGGAACCTGTTTAGTACTTGGTACTGCAGCCAACACAAACGACCACAAGGAGGTATGTAAGCGCTTACAGTCCGAGAATTACTGATACTAATGGTTAATCTAGTGTCAAAGCAAGACTGGTCTAGGCGTATTCGAGATGAATACGAAGGACAGTTTTCACACTTGCCAGAGAAAGAACGCCACGATCAAGCTGTACGACGCGAAATAATGAAAGATATCATCAAGTGGTACGAGGAGCAGGAAGATGAGTTTGTCCAAGGGGTGAAGACGAAGGGCACGTTCACCCACGAAGTCGAGAAGCTTCGCAAGCAGTTCATCAATCTCGTAAGTCACACTTCAGTAATAGTTTCTTAGTTCTTATCGACCGTTCGGATAGGGCATGAGCGCACAGAGGACCCTCGGCGTTGAGACATTTGGATATATAATATGCACGGACGAGAATATGGGAGGGATTAAAGCAAGCCGTGTGTGGGGAGGATCATCCCGTTTCAAGGCGGTGATGGAGACATGCGGTCAGAGTATCGAGTCTCAGTTACAAGACTTCGCCGCTGTATTCAGGTGCGTGAAGTGCTTAGCAGTAGATGATTTGCTTACATGACCTACGTCTATCCAGGCTCGCGGATTTGAAGAAAGAGAACGGAGATATTAGGATACCATCTCTGTTCCCTCGATACAACTCGCCACCTAAGCCACTACGGGAAAATGAAGAAAAGGCAAAGCCTTCAAAGGATTCTGGCAGTAATGTAACCACTAGAGATTACCACCGATTGAGGGCACGCGAATTGTTGCATGCCGGTCTAGGCAAGTCTGACCACATTACCTCTTGCTCCAGCGCTGACGACAGGGTATAGGTCGTATTCTTACTACAGCGCCGACTGCATTCCCGTGGAAGAGCTTCACGGACTTCGCCTTCGAGAACAAGATACGGCTGAAGGATTGGCCTTTGGACGTACCCTGCCCTGGACCGAGCTTTGATCTGAAGAAGCTAACCACGGCGCAGGTTGCAGCTTTAGCAATGCCGCTCATCAAGCGTTTCGACACCGACTATGCAGGTGAAGTTACGTATCCGTACTTCGAACGTTGGTCGAAAGGTATGTATCTCAATATAAATTGTTGTTACATCAGCTTAATGATGTGTCGCTCTCGTAGATGAATGTGAAATGGACATCGAAAGTCAGGGCGATTTGGCGGCGGTTGTCGATACGCTGCAAGGCAAAATCTCGCTGATCAAGCATTCTGAAAAGTACAAGAGAGCTAGGAAGGCAGCGGCTGCGCAGAGAACAGCTGCGCAGATGCAGTCTCAGTCGCGCTCATCGTCCCGGCAACGCAGCTACGCTCCCGATGGCGCGTTGCCTCGGCGAGGGCGTGAGCTCAGCATTGTGGACGAGGGTGACAGTGACGCAGAAGGTCAGAGCGCAAACATTTACACCATCGCTCGTCCCGCTTCTCGTGCTGGTCCTCCCCCTGGTCCTCCTCAGCGTTCGTCCCTTCCTGCCCCTCTTCCCGCCCCTCGTCCTGCCCCTCGTCCTGCCCCTCGTCCTGCCCCTCGTCCTGCCCCTCGTCCTGTATCACGTCCTGTACCGCGTCCTGCCCCTCGTCCTGCTTCTCGTCCGATATCTGGTCCTTCAACACGGTCGGACCATATGCCTCAGCAACTCTCCAGAGCACCATCGCGTTCAGCCCTGCCGTCTACCTCTTTCGCACCTGAGTATGGGTATAATGCGAATGCTGCCTACTCTGTCTATCACGGAGAGCCAGTGCAACCACAATACCGAGCTGATAGTGGAACGAGCGATCATATCATGCGCGCTCCGAAGAAGCGAAAATTGGACGATACTGAGCTGGGTCGCTCTGATCGACAAGGCCATCGCCGTGATAGACGAAGAGAGAATGTACCGGTAAACGATGTCGACATCATCAACGGTACATATGCAAGACCCAGCAGGAGCGGGATGGATTATGAAGAGCAGGAGGACGCGGTGAGGGGATGGTCGGGACTGGGGTATGGCGACGAATTCGCTGAGGATGACAGGAGACTCCTTGCACCCTCCTTCGGCAATGGTGAGTCTCAAAATGGCGCCGCGGTGCTGGGAGACAACGGGGTTGCGGTGCAAGTGGAGCAGAGGCCACAAGCTCGGAGAGATGAGCAGGCCATGCTTACACCTGGATATGAGGAGGTTGCCGGTATGGAGGAGTGGATGGAAGACAATGAGTATGACTTTGCGGATGGGCAGCACAATGGGAACACTGATACATATGATCAGTACTAGTTTGAATCTGGGCTTTCGTGTAAGAGGGGTACAAAATAAATACTGTATATGCTATATGCTTATGTACTATAACAATCACCATTGAAATAGGGTCGAGATGACCGTGACTGAGGGTGCAGTGTCCGAATTCCTCTGTGCGAAAAAAAACAGATTGCAGAGTGCTCTTGGGCAACGGAGGACCTGCCCAACACTCTGGGTGGGCAGTTCGGGCTGCCCAAGGACTT